TCCAACTTTTTCGCACCGTCCAGCGGAGAATCGTTTTCCTCCTTTTCCTTCGACACATTGGTCAGCTGCAACGATTGCGATCCTGCAGTTTCAGTTTCTTCAGTTGTAGGTGGCTTGAAGCTATTGCGGTCCGGCAAGTCCAATCCTCGATCTTGCGCAAATCTCACTTGGTTTGCAACCTGCACCAAACGACGTAGCCGCTTCAACCTTTCGAAACCCAGGGCATCATGGGAATATTTGCAACAAGATGCCTCCTTCCGACACCTCCCATGGATGTGGAAGTCGTAACAGACATTGTGGAACCCGGCATCTCTAATAGCTCTTCGAGAAGCGTTGTCCCATGATTTTCCAGCCTCGCGAGTCCCTTCTAGGACAGCATTGTCATCATGAGCGTACCTGCAGTTTGCACCATACTTGCAACCACCATCGTTGTAATACAAGCACATCTGCTTCTTTGGTTCACTAGGTGAACGATCACCCTTTGACGCTCCCTTGCCATAATTGTATTTGGCCCGGAAGGCTGCATCCTCCCGTTCCTCCTGCGCATCATCCACCGTTCCCTCATCAGTTGGAGGCCGCCACCAGTGTCCCCATCGTCTTCACTAGCGTTCTTGCCAGTCTCAGACCCGGTTGGACCTTTTTCAGGCCACCCTTCACCATAATAACGGTGTTCAAAAGGCACACTTGTCCCCATTGCGACAGTACCCTCGATTGTAGTAGGTGCACAGCTTTGAATATCCTTTTGACACAGGTTTTGGCGTCAAGTGAACCTTCTTGTGCTTTGAGGGGTCCAAATAATCTTCAATCGGTCTTCCCTCTTGCACTCGCATGGACTCCACCATGTCTTCTACCTCCTGCAAAAGCTTCGTTGTATCCATCCACAGCTCGTACCAGAACTCCTCATCACCTTTGTCCAGTACCTTCGCCACCGCTTCGCCCGTAGCCGCTTCACTGAAAATTCTCCTCTCGCGGACCAAGTCGTACATGGCGTTGTGATACAGATGGCGAGGATATTGTCCCCTTTTCCGTTGTATCGCTTCACTCTTGTCTGGTCTCCACCCAGCTGCGTTCAAAATGTTGTAAGCTTCTTGAACTTCAGTACTCACCCGCGCCGATTCTGCCACCAGCAGTTTAATCTCATCTATACTGCGCTCCAGTATCATCCCAGTGATCTTGCCACGATACTCCTCTTCCACTTCAATGTGGCCCAGCATCACAAGGAGTTTTTCGCCGTAGAACTGCTTCAGAACGCCTTCCTCCCATTCTTCCGCAGACATCCACTGGCCAGGATTCCAGCCATAGCACTGCCACTCTTCTTCTCCCGAGTCCCATTGACCATACGAGGAGGAATCTTGGTACCATTGATCTGCATACCATGAATGACCCCACCATTGGTCATATTTGCCACGTCTCCATCTGCGCGAACCAGACGACACAGCATCATCTCCGTCATCTTCCAGAGTCAGGAAGGTATCCATGATCAAGGTTCCATCCTTTTCCACTTCCTGTACCACTGCTTCGACCTCATCGTCGAGCCTGAACGGATGCGCATCTTTCCCTTTCACAGGAATACATTCAGATCACCGTGATCCAAATAAACACCATCCGCATTGATACAGGAGACAATTCCAGTGAGTACATCTCCCTTTTCATAGCAATGCTTGCCGTGCGAAGCTGGGGGTACCTCATTGGGCACTTCATTCTGCGGGTCTCCAGAAGCTGGTACACCTTCTTCAGCTCCTTGAACATCCCCTGCTTCTACCATTGGACCAAGCTGCTTGTCCTGCTCTTGCACGAGTTCCGCAAGATCGTCCACCTTGCGCTCCAAAGACACAGAACTAACCTCCTTTTCAGCCAAAGGCTCTGCCTCTTCTGTTGCGGTTTGCACGGCGTCGACTTCCTGCAACCCGCCAGTCGGCAATATCTCCTCCTTCCTGGAGGGAGAGACCTCATCCGGGGTCCCCTACTAGGTCATCCACAGCAGGCATGCTTTCTTCCACTGCGGGATCCTTTGGCTCCATGGTTACCAAAGGAATATCACCACCATCAACAGTCACAGCTGCTTCATTGGCTTCGGTGTGACTTGAAACCTTCAGCTCCTCGCTCCTGACTTCAGAATGCGCAGGTGCGTCCACCACGGCATCTCCCTCATCAGTTGCTACAACGACCTGCTCCCCATTGTCACAGTCTGTTGCGGAGCTTGTACCTCCAGGTGCCTCAGCCCTTTTAACATCCATCGTCTGGGTCTTCTCAGGCACCTTTGCCCGCACCACATTGGCGCTCCAGGCTCCATTTTCCCTTTCTGGCGCATTGGCCGCATCTCCAGCTACCTCTGAAGCATCGTCCTTCCTTTGAATGGCAGTAACAATGGCACCAGACGGAGAAACCTCTTCAGTCGCAACATCCAACGCTTTTTCTCCATCCTCCTTCTTTTCAGGACCAACCTCCTGAGTGCCAGATTCCTTTTCCACCATTTGCTCCTCAGTAGCCGATGCACAACTCTCCTCCACATTGGAGATCATCCTGTCCGGACTTGCAGTTTCCACCGCTGCGTCACCCTCAGAAAGATCCTTGTCTCTCTCCTGATCCAGGTGTCCACCAGCCATTGCTTCCTGCAGTCCAGAAATTCCTTCCTCACCCAGGGAACCCGAGGTCAGGGCAGCTCCACCACCCCTTAAACCGATATCCCTATTGGTAGAGGGAAAATCATCTTCTATAATACCATCTACACTACCCTGAAATGCCCTAGTGGACTCAGCCGTCGGTGTAGGCGATATAGGACCCAGCACTGAATTTCCATCCTCCAGCGCATTGCCAGACGGTTCCTCAGTTTCTTTGCTGTCCCGCGTCTTATCACCCGGCTTAGGCAAAACCCACTTGCTCTCACCTGTGTCAAGGCAGTAATAATACTGTCTACCATCCTCATGGTGATGCCACTTCCAGCGTGTCTTATCACATGCTATGATCCACCGCTCATCCTGATGAAAACCATCATCCTCAGAGATCTGGCGCATCTGATCAGCATCCTCGGACACCTGTTGTAACCTTTCAGCATCTAACTCCAAGACTTCCTCCTCATCCATGGTGACCTTAGCAGCTGAGGCAGGTTTCAAACCGTCCGCACTCCTTCCTTTGTTTTCATCGCTGCTCTCACCACCAATGGCATCTGCAGAAGAATTCCCTTGCATCTTGTCCTGAGTCACCCTTGATGCTGAGGGTATATCACCAGTGAGGACAGTCTGAGTCTCTTGACTGACCATCTCTCGACCAGAAGACAAAGATGAAGGTTGATAGTTGTATTTTCGCAGTACCCGCAGGACAACCGCTTCCAACTCGCGATCTATACCACCAGTCTCATCCCAAGGCCTCTTCTCCCCAGGTTTCGGCAGTACAGAAACTACAAGCTCTTCACCTTCAGCTCTGTCACCACTTCCCGCATTGGGAACCACGCCCCCATCAGGGACTCCTGCAACCGTTGATCCTCCCACTTGTTCCACCGCAGTGCCAGGCACCATTGCTTCTTGCACCACTCTTTGTGCGGAAGACCCAGTTGCACGATTGTTAGCTCCACCATCTTCACCATTCACCATGGAGGACTGGAGCCATTGCTTGGAAGAAGACATTGCTTTCTAACACCAAGCCCCGAAGAAAACAACTTACCGCAGGGAACCGCTTGGGCTCATAACCTACGGGGGCAACCGAAGGGGAAAGAGGAAAGAAATCAACCCTTGACAGCTGCCTATGATATGAATTTCCCAGATCGAACCAGAAACAAAGAAACCCAACTCCAGGGGTAAAGGCTAAAGGAGAAGGGACGGGACTACCACCACCCGTAACACCCAACCCCAACACCACGGACTTTTTACACGAAAGCTGACGGCTCTGGGCCATCCTTGAGCCAAATAGGTCACGGGTGTTTCACCCTTTTAAACCAACAAAGGCAACCTCCGCACCCTAAACCCAAGGTTACTTAGGGGGGGAACCTAGGGGAGAGGGGGGTAGTAGGGAAACCCATGATTCTTCCTTGGCCATTCGGACAAGGATCCCCGTGTCATCATCCAAATCCAGCTTGTGACAGGCGAGGTTATTCAGCCTATACTCCCCTTAGAACCTTAACAAAGGGTTTAGGGTTTAGGGTTTAGGGTTTGGGGTTTAGGGTTTATAGGGTTTAGGGTTTAGGGTTTAGGGTTTAGGGTTTAGGCTTTAGGGTTTAGGGTTTAGGGTTTAGGGTATTTCTACTCCACTCTTGGGCTTTATATAAACAAAAATAGAAACAGTAGTTCCCAAGGGGGGGATATAGGAGCTGGATGCCATGCTCCACCGCGACCATGCCAGCAAAGGCCCACAGATCCGCTCGTGAAATGCCGCTGTCTTTGGGCGACTGAGGCAGACTTGGCGCCTGGAAAGCAGTGGCACAAAGTAGAAGTCAAAGAAACAAACGCAAAACAAAATGGCTTGCGGCCTGAACTAAACCCTAAACCCTAAACCCTAAACCCTAAACCCGAAACCCGAAACCCTAAACCCTGTAGACCCTAAACAGGAAAGCGGGAAGCGCCAGTTCGGGGGAGTGATTGCCATGCATGATTGGCAGGGGCCAATGTTCTCGAACAATGCACGCAAGCCGCAATGAAACCCTAACAACCCCCCCCCCCCCCCAAACCCCTGAACCCTTAAACCCAAAACCCAAAGCCCGAAACCCTAAACCCTAAAGCCTAAAGCCCCTACCCTACCAACAGCGGCTCCGCCTCAAATAAGCACCAGCTACAGCAAATACAGGGAGACAAGTAGCTAGACCCAGGAGAACCTAGGAATAGCAAAGGGTTTAGGGTTTAGGGTTTAGGGTTTAGGGCTTAGGGCTTAGGGCTTAGGGCTTAGGGTTTAGGGTTTCTAGACCCAGGAAAACCTAGGAATAACAAGTGGTACCCCTTTTTGGTTCACACAAGCCCAGAACAAACGGGCCCCCAATAAGGAAGAAGAAAAAATCAAGACATTCATGGCGCCTTCTGTGGAAAAGTTGGGTCGGTGTAGATCTTCTCCAAGATCTCCACGGTGGGCTGCAAGCCGTTGTTGTGCCCATCATCACTGGCATTCAGCAGAAACTTTCTAAGCTGGTCTCGCGCGAAACGCTCGCCTACACCCGTCCACTCCAAGCATCCATCGCAGCCACCAGTGCCGTCGGCATACTTCATGCCTAGGATGCTCAGTGACCCAGGATTCAAAAGGGTACCCTTTTTTGCTTAAAGGGGTTTATAAGGGAACCTAAACTCCCAAAAAAGGGGAATAAGGGCACTACTGGGCATCCTAGATGCAATCATGGAAGGCCAAACGCAGGAACTTGGCCATGGTTGGTAGACCCGACCTTGGTAGCACCAGTAACCATATGTGTAGTTCTCTAAATTAGGGTCCCTTTGGGGATCCCAAAAAGGGACACTAATTTAGGAAACTACCCGTACTATAATAAGGGCACCCTTTTTTGGGTTGGTTGCTTTACAAGGGAACCCAGAACCACAAAAAAGGGAAAAGGGTACCACTGGGCCACCAAGCGACCATCGTTCTCCTGGCACTTGGATGTTCCCTTCCCAACACAAGGCATCCGGTTCCTGGAAGACACGGATCAACTTGGCTCTGATGGCCTTCCTTAGCTGTCCAGTAATTTGGGGGAATTAAGGGTTAACCTTTGGGATTATCAGGGATTATACTACCCCAAAAAGGTTAAAGGTTACCTACTCTACTACTAGGCTTCTGGTGCTCTGGCGACCACTCAGCTCCAGGTTCGCCAGGCACATAGCTTTCTCCTGGCGCCTTGCCATAGGTGAAGTAGGCGTCCGGCTCGTGGCGCGTAGTGCAAGCTCCAGCGTCACTTGAGTAGCGAGAACACGTGGCGCCGACCTTCAGGCTGAAGAACTTGCAGTTCTTCTCTGAATTACATCTCCTGAGGGCACGTGGCAAGTGGACCAACTGGAACAAGAAGGTACTGGTAGCTGGAGGTGCTTGCATAGATTTGACCCATATGAAAGCATGAGCACGGAGGAATTCACCCTGGCCATTCCGGTGACCATTGCTAAAGTACAGTTAGGGTTTAGGGTTTAAGGTTAGGGTTTAGGGTTTAGGGTTTAGGGTTTAGGGTTTAGGGTTTAGGGTTTAGGGTTTAGGGTTTAGGGTTTAGGGTTTAGGGTTTAGGGTTTAGAGTGCGGGTTTACATGGTTGCTCAGGTTCTTGCTGCTCTATGGCACGGCATGGCTACAAGTACTCTCCGTCACAGGCGGGTGAAGGAAGATTCCAAAAACACAATATATATATATATATATATATGCTATATATATATACTATATATATATATATATACTGCAGTGTAATACATAACATAGATCTAAGAATAGACCATATAATGTCTATAGCCTATACAATCTCTAATATACAGTATCTTATTCAGTACAAATGAATGCAATTTCACACACAGTAAGTAACATATGATGTACCGGAGGGGCAAAGCTGAAAATATATGGATTAACCCCATGCCGGACAAGGACCGTGTCTAGGACCCTGCCGGACGCGCGAAGCATTCCTCTCCAGCCATCACCACTCCCCTCCCCCCGAAGCCTCCACTCCTTTGCATGCCTCCTCCATGCGATCGGACAGATAAAAGAATACTCTCATCACATGCGATGTTCCCTCTTCCCTGAAGCCCCCCAGTTTAAAAGGAACTCGCGATAGATTCGGGGAATGGCGACGAAAGAGAGTGAATGGCGACCCCCCTCCCCCCTCCCCCCTCCACCCGCACACACCCAACAACCTTGATAGGTTCTAGAACATTCCCCCCCTTCCAATTTTCCCCTGCTCCCTGAAACCCCCCCCCCGACCAGGATTGGTCCTGTTCGCCAGCTCCCTGCCAAAGCAGAACTACCTCAAGCCTGGCTACACAAGCCTTCGCCACAAAATACGAGTCCATCTTCGGAAGTACATACATGTACGTATGTATATATATATATATATATATGCTATATGATTATATATAACTATATACTAAATAAAACACGAACACTTTGTAATATGTCAGATAAAGCCTTTGGACCGGGTTGTGTGGGTGGACGTCTTTAGAGTACTTCCGTGGGTAGTGCAGCAGTTGCAAGCCATGTCCGTCTATCCGTAGACTCAGGCATCACATACCCTAAGCCCTAAACCCTAAACCCTGGGAATAAACTTCACCTTTGAGGCAAGATGCTGCGCACAGGTCTCAATGTCAACAGCGTCCGGTGCATACCATCCACCGATGTAGCCCCTGTCGCCTTAGTTGCTGAGTTCATAAGCCCCCCCCCAAAAAAAAGGTGTACACTTTCAGTTCTATAGGGGATTATAGTATCCCAAAAAGTGTAAAGATGTGTAAAGTGTACTCATTCAGCTGCTCAGTTGCACCAGCCCGCCCCCACAGCGGTGTAGCCAAAGGGAGGCGTCGTCGTCGTTGTGGTGCAAGGTCCGCAGCCGTCGCAAGCCCATTTCGTGCACCTGTCCGCCCAATCCTGCGGGGCTTAGGGTTTAGGGTTTAGGGTTCAGGGTTTAGGGTTTCTTCGGGTTTGGGATGCTCGAGGTTAACAGGTTAACATGGCATCCAGCATGCGGCATCTATAGCGAGAGAGACGCTTTTGACCCCGTCCTCCGTGTTTCCGCACCAGTTCGCACATCGGGCAATACCGGCACAACCGGCACACCCCTTGCAATTCTTCCCGGTGCAGCTGCTTGGGCTGGGGACGCACCACGATTCGCAGGGCCCCTCGCGAAGCTCCCCTTCGCCAGCGCTTCCTGCAGGAGATGTTAGGGTTTAGGGTTTAGGGTTTAGGGTTTAGGGTTTAGGGTTCAGATGCTCACTTCACTTCTTCAACCTTAAGAGTTCCATTCCAGGATACCCTCTATAAAACCCTCTGAAACATATTCCTAGATGTGAGTCTCTCAAGCCCAAGAAGGGAACATATAAAATGTCCCAAACGGCCTACCTAGTGTGCGGGTGCTCCTAAAATAAATATGATTCTCTTAAACCCAAGAAGGGAAAATATAACATATCCCAAAGCGAAGGGCCTACCTAGAACTGTGTGCCTGGTGTTCACCCAAAAGGAGCCTTCCCCTGAAAAGTTTGGTTTTGTCATTATGGTGCTCCTGTGCCCAGCTGCAGCAGCGAGCTGGATGTGGAACCCTTACAGGTGTCACACGCAGCATCTTCACTGCAGAAGGCTCGTATCCTTAGTAGCCCAGTAGCCATATTCGATAATGAGGGCACCCCTTGTTTGGGGGGTTGGCTACTTTACAAGGGAACCTAGAACCAACAAAAAGGGTTTAGGGTTTAGGGTTTAGGGTTTAGGGTTTAGGGTTTAGGGTTTACCACTGGGCTACCAAGTATCATGAAGAGGCCGAGGAGGAAGCCTTTGTGAGCTCCACGGCCAAGGACCATTCTGACAGCGATGTGCTGCAGCGGTACGCGATGTTAGAGCAAAGTCGCACGTAGGCTTCAAGGCCGAAAAGGATCTGCGGCATGCTCCGTATGGTTTAGGGTTTAGGGTTTAGGGTTTAGGGCTTGTTTGATGAATTTTAACCGGCTTTCGTGATTGTCTCTCCGATCAGCAGTGATTCTGCTTGGTTTCTCACAGACTCACAGGAAGCCTCCTTTGAACCCATAGCCGGTATTGATCAAGTCGGTGCCCATACCCTCTTGTGAAGACCGCTTCCTTACCGCTTCTGGCTTCTTATGCAGCTAGACCCAGGTGTAGCGTAGGAAAAAGAAGGGTTTAGGTTCTAGGGTTTAGGGTTTAGGGTTTAGGGAATTATAAGGGAACCTGCACCCTAGAAAAAGGGAATAAAGGCCCTCAAAAATCCCAGGCAGCGCCTGCTTGCAGCTCCCTTTTCCCTCCTGCCGGCGTCGCGCGACGCGAGCCCCGTGTTCTCGGGAACATGAGCCCATTGGGGTCCCGCGTGTGGGCGAAGTAGTCGTCGAAGTCGAAGATACAGCGCCTCCAAGGACACCCCCTGGTTCTGAGCAGGGACTGAGGGACTTAGGGCCCTGTACATACCCTTTAAGGGATCATTCCTATATATATATATATATACACACCCTCTAAGGGATGACATAGGGTACTTGTTCCTATATATACACTTTAAGGGATTAGATAGGGCACCTCCTGCCCTGCTTCCCTAGCAAGAACCAGCCAAAGGAAACTTGGGCCTGTCTTGAGGGCCGGCAATTGGGGTTTAGGGTTTAGGGTTTAGGGTTATTGGGTGGTTCAGGATCAGCCTACGCCCTGTTAAACCTGGACCCTAACCCTGAACCCAAAATCCTAAACTTTCTACAACCCAAAAGCCCGAAGAATGGATATGAAGGTGAACGACTCAAGGCTGGAATTCAGGATTTTGGCTTGAGTATCTAAGGGCATTTAGGGTGTAGGGATTTTAGGGTTTAGGAGTTTAGGGGCTTAGGGGTTTAGGGGCTTAGGGGCTTAGGGTTTAGGCTTTTGAAAGTTCAGGGGCGTTTCAGGGTTCTAGGGTGCACACGGTTTTAGGCGTCGACAAGTTTAGCACTCAAAGGTCGAACTAAGGATGTACCCAGACAGTTCCCTGGAGCCTTTGGTCTTTGAGCCACCGCCCTTGGGATTAGGGTTTAGGGTTTAGGGTTTAGGGTTTAGGGGTTTAGGGGTTTAGGGTTTAGGGTTTAGGGTTTAGGGTTTAGGGTTTAGGGTTTAGGGTTTAGGGTTTAGGAAACCATGTAGGGCTATGAACGAACAGCTTCTCCCGGGATGTAGGGGGGCAGGAGGGCGACTCAACCCTAAACCCTAAACCCTAAACCCTAAGCCCTAAGACCTAACCCCTAAGCCCTCGACCATCAACCCTAACAATCAGTGTGGGGGAGTACTATAGGGGCCTGAATAATTCGAGTAGGGTTTGGGGGCAAGCAGACTATATTTATATGGGAAGTATAAGGGAACTTGGGATGTTCCCCCTTATACAAGCAGACTATAGCACACCCGAATAAACAATCCCTATTAAGGATTGTGGGTAGAAAGGGGGGCACATCCCAAATTCCGAGCCCTAAAGGTGGGGTTTGGAGACCTGCGCTTCAAGCAACAGAAAGCCGAACACATCTCATCCGGTGGCTTAAACCCCCACCCCACCCTCCAAGAGTCCCCAAGCGGGTATAGCTTTAGGGTTGAGGGTTTAGGGTCAGGCTTCAGGTACAGAAGACAAACCTATACTGAACTTGGAACCCTAGCAAAACTTGTGATTTTTGCTGTTTCTTAAGAACTAAAGTAAAGTACCCAAAAAACAACAAATATATCCAAGTACCCCAAAGAAACCCAAGACCTAAAGTCTTCTTTGAGCTGAGGGCCACACCCGTCAGGCCCAGGTTTGCACGCAGGGATGCAGGCGTTGTGCTCAAACCTCTGCTTTTGGAACCTAAAAACCCCCCCAAAAAACCAAAGGACAATCACAACCACCTAGAAGCCCCCAAACCCGCCCAAACCCTAAACCCTAAACCCTAAACCCTAAACCCTAAACCCTAAACCCTAAACCCTAAACCCTAAACCCTAAACCCTAAACCGAGCTTTGGGGCTTTGGTTTGCTCAGGGTTTAAGGGGGGTTTGGGGCTGGAAAGCGTCGAGTGCCCAGGGGCAGCTGGAGATTCGAGGCTTTGTGCATCTAACATCTGAAGGAGTGGTAGGGCTTCGGGTTTGTTTGGGGTTTAGGGTTTAGGGTTTAGGGTTGAGGGTTGAGGGTTGAGGGTTGAGGGTTGAGGGTTGAGAGGGTTTAGGGTTTAGGGTTTAGTTCAGGGTTCAGGGTTTAGGGTTTATGGAAATTGTGTTGGGTTTGGGGGGGGGGGGGAGGGGGAAAGAGGGGAGGGGAGGGGGAGGGAGGGGGAGGGGGAGGGGAGGGGGAGGGGAGGACGGGGGGGGAGGGGGGGAGGGGGGGGGGGGGGGGGAAGAACGGGAGGTGGGGGAAGGGTGGCAGAGGGGAGGGGGAGGGGCGGAGGAGGGGTTTAAGTAAATTGAGCATTTGGCCAGAGAGATGTGTTTTGGATCAATAATATGATTAAACTCAGCTTGTCAGCTGTTTAGACAAATGAGTTGGGAAATTCAGAATGATGCAACATACAGTTTCTATTCATTTTGTCCTGAGGGTTTAGGTTTAGGGTTTAGGGTGTATGCGCTGTATGGGCGAAGTCCAAACTCCCTAAGCTGGAGGGTTCCCACTATCCCCCATTTCCTATGGCCCGACACACGAAACCCAAAACCCAAAAGCCTAAATCCCAAACCCTAAAACCTAAATCCCTAAACCCTAAATCCCAAACCCTAAACCCTAAACCCTAAATCCCAAAACTTTCTTGAGCCCTGAACCCTGTGTTTGATGGCAGCACCCTGGGGCTACAATGGCCAGAGATGCGCTACCTGCCCAAAAAACCCTAAACCCTAAACCCTAAACCCGAAACCCTAAACCCTAAACCCTAAACCCTAAACCCTAAACCCTAAACTGGCCGGAGACTCGCGTGTCCCATTTTTGACCCAAGCCCCGGCTCCCGCACCGAGCGACCCATGGAGCCGGAACCCTAAACCCTAAACCCTAAACCCTAAACCCTAAACCCGGAACCCTGGTAGCTTCCTTTGGTACACCGGACCCTGAAACCCCTAATTATAGGGACCTAGATGATTAGAATAGGGTGTTGGGGGTTATTTTAGGGTTTAGGGTTTAGAGTTTAGGGCTACTATAGGGGCCTGAATGATTCGAATAGGTCTTTTGGGGGTTATTATAGTATAATCATCAAGGGACCCTAAGGGAATACTCTGAGTAACTATTCCGACCACTACATTAGACCCTAAAACTGAGGTCCTAGAGCCCCGGACTCTCAAACAAAGGTTTAGGGTTTAGGGTTTCGGGTTTAGGGTTTCGAGTTTACGGTACCTTGAACCGTTTAGGGTTTAGGGTTTAGGGTTTAGGGTTCAGGTAATAGTATACTCATAATCATCATCATCATCATCATAATAAGGTTATTAATATTAGTCAATACAATGCAATGCAGGCCCCCTCCCCGCCACGAACCCTTCGACGAACCCCGGGGGCATTCGGCGAACCTCTGCCGTACCTTTTTCTACTAGACCCCCACGTTACTGATCCCCTGCGTTTTGCCCTGAATAGTTGGCGTTGGCCAGTATAACAACGAAGCACAAGAGGGCACCCTCTGATTTCGGAGGTTGCTCTGGGCAACTTGATCTGGGATAAGGGAGCAGAGCTTTCTACGTGTCATGCTAGGGTTTTACCGAGGTGAGGGCCCGCACAAGCCCCCCAAAAAATATTTCCAGCAGTCAACCGAAGTTCTGCCTAAACCCTAGACTCTAAACCCAACCCCCCCCCCCCCCCCCCCCACCCTAAACCCTAAACCCTAAACCCTAAACCCTAAACCCTCAAAAAAAAGGAGTAAGGGAACTACCGAGCATCCATTCCCCTGCAACGCTGCCAGAACCTTGAAACCCGGGTTTGAATTCGGGTTTGGGTTCAGGGTGTGGGGTGCAAGGCTTATACTCTATGTCCCAAAAAGCCCTAAACCCTGAACCCTGAACCCTGAACCCTGAACCCTAAACCCTAAACCCTAAACCCTAAACCCTAAACCCTAAACCCTAAACCCTATCTGAACCCCAATCCCGAACGAAACCCTAAACCCTGAAGTTTGCCCGCGAAAAGCCCTGGGAGGTCGACCAACAGGCGGACACCGTCGAGGCGATGGTCCCGCTGGTGCCCACCTGTACCAACTGAGGCTTTAGGGCTTGCGCTTGGGGGGGGGGGGGTTTAGGGTTTAGGGTTTAGGGCCTTTAGGGTTTAGGGTTTAGGGCCTTTAGGGTTTAGGGTTTAGGGTTTAGGGTTTGGGGCTTAGGGTTTGGGGTTTGGGGTTCAGGGTTCAGGGTTTGGGGCGTAGGGCTTAGGGTTATTTAGGTAGGGGTCAGCTTGGGTGGGAGGGGTTCAGGAGTTGGGAAGGCTCTTGTCGGGTGTTAGTTAGGGTTGGTTTAGGGTTTAGGGTTTAGGGTTTAGGGTTTAGGGTTTAGGGTTTAGGGTTTAGGGTTTAGGGCTTTGTTGGGGTTCGGAGATCGAGGTTCTTGTCGGCAAGACAAGACTAAAAAAGTGAAGCATGTAATTGAGGCAACCCTAAGCCCTAAACCCCGGGACAGTGCATTCACCGACCTCGGTAGCCCTAAACCCAAAACCTAAACCCTAAACCATACACCCTAAACCCTGAGCCCTAAACCCTAAACCCTCAACCCTAGGCTCTAAACCCTAAACCCTAAACCCTCATCCCTAAACCCCAAACCCCACAGCCAAGGGTTTAGGGTTTAGGGTTTAGGGTTTAGGGTCTAGGGTTTACGGTTTAGGCTTAGGGTTTAGGGGGCTTAGGGGGTCTATGGAGTTTAGGGTGTT